CAAACCAGCACCCTTCTCCATCCTCCAGGAGTCCTCATCGCCCCCATCCCTGCCCACTGCCAACTTCTGAACACTCAGCAGTCTGGGCACATTGCTGCCCACAGGGGAGGGTTCCCTGACACAAGGGCCCCTGCAACCCACCTTTGTGGTATCTTTCAAATACCACACACGATAGGGGCCAGGCTGTCCCTGCCTCCCACCACACCCTCAAATGTCCTTCTTTCCCTTGCTTGGCCTGCTTAGGTACAGGCCACACCTTTCTCTGAGTTGGTGGGAGGTGGTCCTAAAGTCCCCATGGACATGCAAGGCCACCATGAGCAACAGTCCAGATGTGACATGTGTCTGAATGACCAGCAGTGGGCACATCACTTTAGACCTGCCACACAGCAGGCATCTGTCTGGTCTGGGGGTACACTGGTCACTGTGGGCCCCCGTGAGGCAGCAGGCCCCAAGAGCTACCCCAGACAGCCCATGGGGTCAGGCCTGACCTTACCTACTTGGCCAACATCCTAGGGGACAGACTTAATGATGAAGCAGAGCACACTCCCCGGCCCTGAACCAAGCTCATGTGAAGGCTCTGATAGGTCAGTGACCAATAAAAGTTGCAAAAAACCTCCTAATGGTGCACGGACTGGGCCAGTGGACACAGGAGGCAAAGGGATGGCCCTGAAAGGCCCAACAGAAAACCACAGGCCAAAGTACCCTCTCTCTCCCTAGCTCCCTCATCCCCACATCTCTCTGTGAGAACCCCCTCACCCAGGCAGGAAAGAAAATTAAGTTGATGGAGACATGACTCAGTTATGTTGTTTGGTACCAAGGCAATACATACTGCTTTCCCTGTTACCGTAACGCACTCCATTTCCCTTTTTGCCTTTGCTGTTAGGAAGCTCAAACCAAACTGAATGCTCATTACTTTTTTTAAAAAAAATTAAAGACAGGTGCCCAGGCTGGTTGCAAACTCCTGGCCTCAAGTGATCCTCCTGCCTCAGCCTCTCAAAGTGCTGAGATTACAGGCATGAGCCACCAAGCACAGCCATATTACCTTTTTGTGGCTCTTGGCACAGTGTTGTATTCTCTTTCTTGGTGTGATTTTAGATAATTCTTTTGTTTATTCCTACCTGCCCCTTTGCATCTGTTACGTGCTTTCAGGAAGTAGGGACGATGGAAATGATGCAGACTGAAGCCATCCTTAGCCACTCATGCCTAACACTGAGTGAGTGTTCTGGATCTTTACCAGGGGCCAGCTGGATGGCAGCAGATTTGATGGAGAGCAGGTGAGGGGTGGATCCAGGGTCGGCACCAACCACCCCCAGGCTGGCAGCCCTGGGGGAAAACAAGGTCAGAGCCACAAAGTACGGGGCCAGCAGCTCTGCCACCAGGAAGCCAGGCTGGCGTAGATCAGCCATGACAGAGGATGCCCCACCCAGTGACCGCAGGGCTGATGACAACTAGCACCAGGAACTCAGGGGGACCGGGCCAACCAAAACACATCTGTGGGGAGTCCACCTTGCCTGGAAGGCAGGGAGGTGGGTCACAATGGCCCTCCCCTACAGGATCTCGTGTGTGAGTGTAGGCGTTTCCATGGGTGTGTGCAGGTGTTGGTAACTGTGCCAGGGATGTGGATGTTAGGAGTGTGTGTGTGCCAGTGAGTCAATGTCTCAGTCTTTCAAGAATGTGTCATAAGCGTGTCATGAGTCCATTTATTGTATTTGTGTCAGTGCCTGTGTATCAGGAGTGTGTTCACAGTGTGTCCGTGAATGTCCATGAGTGTATCACAAGTCCATGTCATGCGAGCGTGTCAGTGTGTTGTGAACGTGTCACGAGTGTGTTGGCAAGTGTGTCCATAAGTGTTTGTACCCTGTGTTGCTGAATGCTGTCATGAGTGTGTCCATGTGTCTGCTAGTGTGTCATATCTATGAATGTGGCATGAGTACGTCCATGGGTGAGTGTTGGTGTGTTGTGTCAGGAGTGTGTTGGTGTGTCCATGAGTGTGAGTTCACCATGCATTGGTGTCTGTGAGTAGGTATGAGTGTGTCATAACTGCGAGTGTGACATCTATGAGTAAGCGTGTCATGAGTGTGTCCATGAGCGAATGTGAGGGTCCGTGTCATGAATGTGTCATGTGTTTGAGTGTCCATGAGTCAGTGTGTCGTGAGCATGTCCATGAGTTGGTGTCATTGACTGTTGAGTGTGTCCATGAGTGTAACTGTTGTGTCCATAAGTGGGTGTGTCATTGACGTGCCTGAGTGTGTGATAAGTGTGTGCATTCTGGAAAAAACTACACACCAATGGTTCTCTCTGAGGAGTGGGATGGGGTTGGCCAAGGTCAGAGGAGGCTTTGCCTTTTTGCTCCTTATTTTTGTTTGAATTGTTCACAATGTGTCACCTTCACACATTGAAAGAGAAACAGCTGTGGGCCAACCTTAAAAAAAGGGAAGGAAAAAGGAAAAAAATTTAAAAGAGTAAGAGAAAAAGGAAAAATCAGTGTGTGCCATGTGCAGTATTCCAGACTGAGACCTTCGAACTGTGCTTCTCAGGTGACTGCCAAGGACGGCACAGCACCCCTGCCCCAACCCCAGCCCCAGGGTGGCAGCACTCACTGGGTATCAGAGAACTCTAGGTTAGTGGTGTTGGGGACCCGCTTGCAGCTGGTGCTGTAGTAACAGTCCACAAACTCCTTCAGCTTCATCTTGCAGTCCTTCTGCTTGGTGACATCTGTCACATCCACACTCTGCTCCAGCCGTGGGGAGGTGCTGAGAGGAGCTCGAGCACCCTGGGAAGTTGGCACAGCCTCCCTGAGGCCGGGATGTGTAGAGTAGACACATACCCTTGGCTGCCATCACACACAGCAGAGTTGCCAGCGGCTGGATGCTAAGGCTCTGGGTGCCAACATCCAGCTTCACCCACATGCTTTCCCTCTGGCTCAGCAAAGCGCCCTGACCACTCTCCCTCTGACCTGGTGATAACTGCAAGGCAGCCAGGTGACGGGCCTCGGCGAGGGTGGCCAGATTAGCGAAATGAAAACACAGGACACTTGGCCCACCTGAATTTCAGATGAACAACAAATACATTTCAGTGTATGTTCCAAGTAATTCATGAGACATACCTACTTTTTAAAAATTAAGCTATCAAATCCCCCGCATTTGTAGAGCACCAATTCATTACTCTGATAATTGGCAAACTGATAAAGGGAAAAGCCTTCTCTGTAGTTGACAAAGAAAAGTTCAGGATAGCCAGATGAGCTGAGGAGGAAAACTTCCTTATAAAAGACTCATGACCGAAAGAGGCAGAAGGAAGGACAGAATTGCCAGCAGCCCTTTACAGTAGTTCTCTCTGGCTGCTCTGTCCACAAAGTGCAAGGCCATGGGGTTAGTGTGGACAGATGAGATGTGTGCCATGGCCACTGGCTTTGTTGGCATCACTGCAAGAGTGCGGCCAGGCACGATAGGCCTCCCCATGGATGGAAGCACACCCCCCCCAGAGGGAGTCCTGCCAAAAACCTGAAGGCAAGTCAAGCAAGCCTCTAACCACGAGTTTATAGGAAACACCTGGGACAGAAGGATCTGCTCAATGACACCACTGGGGACGCTGGCAACAAAATGCTGGATGTGGGACATTCTGCAAGAACAACCATGGCCTTCTCTCCAACAAACCAATGAGATGGAAGGAAATGTCGCTGTCAGAAGAAAAGAGACTCAAGGGACATAAAAAGCAAATGCAATGTGGGGGCTTCATTTGGATTCCACTGCCAAATGTAAAGAGGCATTTTTGAGGCAATTGGGAAGAATTAAACTGAGTCTTACATGCCACCGAGGAATTGGAATTATTGTTAATATTATCT